AATATAAAAAAAGGGAGCAGTTCGGCGACCGCTGGGGGCAAGGTAATTGCACTTTGCACTTTTGCTATTTGCCATCACTGCGTTAAGCCAACAAGTGGAGACCTGTGAAATTTTGGGAAGTATAAACGCAGCTTGAGCTATCCGTGCTCAGTTTAGCTCTGAATTTCAAAAAAACTAGAGCAGTTGTTTTTCTACCAACGTAATTTCACAGACATAAATTACCGAAATCAGCAAGCCTTGAAACACTGAGAAACCGTCAAAAAGATGTAGGGAGAAGTACGTTATTGAAAAGCAAACACCGAATATTTTTGAACCTCTGATAACAACTTTTATAGAGAATCTGCATGAATTTCTAGAACGACTGGCACAATTCTGTACGGAATTATCCCCAATAAGAACGCATATTTCAAGCCATTTTGTTGTATCTCGTTGTTTTACCACAAAACATTAATCAGTAGCTAATTACCATGTACTCATTTGGCGCGATGAACTCCACAGTTGGATGTTTTATTTCAGGTCGGTTCACAGGATCTCCGAATGATTTCGTGTTCGGATCCCAACAGAAATCATCTGGGACTGAAAATATTGGATTGACGCAGGCATAATCAATTTGACATCAAAGCTAATAGAAAATGAGAAGATAGACTGACATAGAAGCTAATCTTTCAAAAAATAGAAACATACGGTCATTGTTTCGATTGCACAGATTGCATTTCCAATGTCGTGAGTCTGGTAGGTAAACATATGGATTTATGTAAGTTCGGCAATAACGACAACGGACAATAGTTGATGTTTGGATTATATTTAAGTTCTAGAAAAAAAATTACATTCCACGGGGATAACTACTCAAACAGTTATCACCGCGAAAAACGCTAAAATCACCTTCATATCACGAAAAGGGTGAAGGGTGAGACCGAGAGGCAAACGACTCTTCTTCAATAATTCTTCAGTTTGAGGCACCATTGTCAGCGTACAGCGGAATACACTAGAAAAATTCAGTGATAAACAAATTTCGTTTTGAATCGGACACTTTCCAAACTAAGTCGGACACTTTTCAGATCAAATCAGACACCTTTCAAATCGAGTCGGACACAACCATATCGAATTAAATACGGTTATAATACCGAAAGGAGCAAAAATTGTACCAGGGCACTGCACAACTTCAGCTAAATTTTGAGTTTTTTTTTATTTTCACCCTTTTCATCCTGCTATTAACGGAAAAAATCCAGACAGCAAAAGATCCGTTCCCTCCAGGAGATCCGTTTCTAAGTCGACGACGACACAGCTCCACCTACCAGATGAGTCGTGCCAAACAAAACGTGAAAAGAAATTCAGGAACGTCATCCAAAAACTCCTACCAACCTTGGATCTACCCTTGCGGAGTTGTTCGCCATATTATGAGGAAGTACATATTCGTTATCCTCGAATCCCAACTGCAGAACATTCCTTTCAGAAGTTAAATCGATTAAATCTGGTGCATGATGCACTGGAGCTGCAATCCGCGGATCTAGCGGATGTGATCCACCAGGATGTGCACCAGGATGTGATCCACCCCAGGCTGGGTTCATTGGCTGTGGCATAGCTGGCTGTGGCATAGCTGGCTGCGGCATCGTTGACTGAGAGTTCATACTCTGAAAACATTAATTAAACGATCTTTTGAAAGCAAATTACGAATTTTTGATGTGAGCGCAAAACATTTCGGAGCATGTCTCGCCCACTGTGGGTGGGTCTTTACTGAGTCTGTGCGCTTCATACACCTTAGTAAGTCCATTCCTACATCCATTCCCAGTTTGAACTTGAGTCTCCATGCCATTCTCCAGGTTATGTTGACTTTCGTAGAAAGACAGACAACTCAGCGCTTGGTATATAAAATAGGAATGAAAATATTTTGGGAACCAGGGAACTTTTTACGATAGAAAGCTTCGCCGGAAAGCACCATTGTCAACCCCATTCGAACAACTGAATGTTCTTCTGAGGCGAGGGCTTTCGCATTCTACTACGACAGCAGCTCATACGCGACGATGATAACCGTACCCAACAAAATCCTAACCCCTTCTTCAGTTCTGCTCTCTGACGTGTCATTAAGGCATGGCGTGAGACTTGCATTATCGACCACTTTATCATTCAAAGTTTGGTTCTTCTAAAGACGTTAGACAGTGGTTCTCTAGCACACACCATGCACACCATGAGACTTTCCAGGAGCGTTTCATAGTTTTGGCAACGAATATGAAACGCTCCCGAGATCCCCACGATCTCCTAATAATAGTGCTGTAACTGACTTTTTAATTGCTGATGATGACAAAGGTTGTATCCTGGACTGAAGGCAATTGTACACTCACCCCCCCCCCCCGTGGATCTTGGTCCTTGCGGTATGTGTGCGGCCGCACAGCAGCCGTTCACACTTCTTGCTATCAAATTGCACTAGAAGGGGCCTTCGAGGGTTGACGATACCTTGAAGGCCAATCCAATTAAGTTCCACTCCGCTCTGCCGCACGAGCGGCGAGGGGCCTAGCCTTAGCCAGTCACGCTTCCTCTTTGTGCACTCTCGCTTCTACTTGTTCACCAGCATTGAGTACGTGTTTTATTGCGGGTACTTGGTTGGCATGGACGCCAGCGCCGCACCTTGACGATAGCGCGGGCGGAGTATAAAGACAACGCTCAGTTACCACTACCACGCAGCCCCCATTCCCGATATTTCAAAGACCACTCCTGCCGATGCAAGTGGTCCTCAAATGACTCCCGTGCCTTTTTTAAACGTTATATGCGTTCACAAAGAACATACCACTTTCGTCCCTCAAAACGGCGCTATGAAGAAGTTAGGAATTGTTCACAGTCTGCGGCCCAGCGTTTTTCTGGAACGCAGCGATTCGGCGAAAAGCTTTTGATACGTATCGACTGGCGGTTGGGCGAAGTCTGTGCGATTTAGCGAAAGGGTTTTGATACGAATCGACGGGCGTTTCGCCAAAACGCGACGTTTTTCGCCTTCGACGAAACGCTAGCTCGATCGCCCTGGCGTTTTTTTCGTTCAGCCAGAGAAATCGATACGCATTTATTGCTTTTCGCCCAACTGCCGAACCGCGGCGGTTCGGCGAAACTAGAGGTTTGGCGATTCTCCGATCGATGACTATACACTGCGAAGCATAATCATAGTTCCACCCATGAATCTCACAAAATCCCGTCTTACACGACGTTTTCAAAAATGCCCCCATACAGAAAATGTGGTAATTACCAATACCAATTCGCATGCCAACACCAAACTCTAGCTTGAAAAAACAATTTTTTTTCGTCAATTTTTTTTTCAAAAATGGTCGTTCTGACTACGCAGCAAAATATAGTTCCACCGCATAT